AATCTTTATACCACAATGTACTTACTCGCTGTGCCGAGTTCAGTCATTAACTTGTGTGCTGTCACTGTGGACCGATATTTAGTATTGAGGATGCCTCTCCGTTACAATTCCTTAATGCCACCTCGCAGAGCTGTTCTAATAATCGTCTGCCTTTGGATTTATGCCATCATTTGGGCCTGTCTTCCTGTGATGGGATGGAAAGAAAATCTCCCGACTATTTATAATGGCAATTGCTATTTCGTATCTACAGGAGAATACAATATCATAGTGAATATCATCAATTTCCTACTTCCAATGATATTTATGGCCGTATTCTGGTTACTTATCTATGCAATCGTTCAGCAACATCGCAAAAGAGTTCTGAAAATAGAGAGAAGCCTTTCTCTAAACACCAACGACTCGTCGAATTCCAGCAACCTGAACTACAACGTTGAAGGCACTCTAATGAATTCCCCTGCACATGGAAGAAACGAAAGAAGGGACAAAAAGAAGATGCGGCGAAATGTCCGACGCTCACGGTACATTGGTTTTATTGTAGTCTTGTTTTATTTTTGCTGGTTGCCCTACGTAACATTAAGTATGATAGGTAACTTGTGCATGTCCTGTCCCGCTATTAACCTCGCACTCGTTGACGCATTTCTCGTACTCGGTTTCATGAATTCTGCGCTGAACCCTTTCTTGTACCCCTTTCATGACAAACATTTTAAGGAAGCATTCAGGGACATGTGGAAGAAAGTGCGGTACAAACTATTCCGTAAAATGTTCCGGAATAAAAACGAAGATTAGAGAAGGTCATTGCACACAGTTTCAATGGAAAGCAGGAGGAGGAGGAAAGGACCTCCTATCATGGTCAAAATAGATACGCTCCGCTCGAAAGAATATACCATTTTCGGGTTAGAGGTATATAAAATTTCACGACAAAAGGTTCATGAGAACTGCTATTAAAGTATTTAAATGGGTCTGACAAATTATTTTGAGCGGTGTCGCACCTAAAGGGTGATCACTCACTCAGGTGCGAGAGGAGAAGTGAGCCAAGGATAGAATATGGATACAGTGTGACAATAAGCATATGGTAAAGGTTCATGTTTCTCTGGAAGATATGATTATTTTCGGTCAAGTATTTTATACAAAGGTTTTGTTGTTTGACCTCGGGGGAGCATCCCTGTGCAGCCCTTGTAGAGCAACCCTGGAAGGGTCTGGATGGTACGTGATAATACTGATATTTTAAACAATTAGACAACAAATTCGAGTTTTCTGTGACTATTTGACTCTTAGAAAACAAGACCGAATTGTTCAGTTATTTTATTTGAAACCGACTGGCATACTACCCCCGATTCTATATCAAATGGTACATTTGGCAAATATATCTGAAGAGACCTGTTGTGGTACAAACCTTAGTAAAAGTCAATCTCTACGTATAGTCGATAAGTCATTGTCTTTCGTGCTATATTGTCTTTTGGTATAATCGTTTGTTGCATGGACATAACTTATATACACTTAAGACAGTGTTTTTATGACAAAGATAAATAACCTAGTTTGTTTGTTTCATCCCTTTTTTGTAGTCGCTTTAGCTTTTTATGGAATTTAGCGACATCATTATCAACAGCAACAACAACAACAACCTTTACAAACAAATACAGTATTGCAAAAACTATTCATAACTAATTATTGATTCGTTAATTAATTCTTTAATACGATAACTTAAAATGAAATAAGGTGGATAGTTGCTTATTTTCAACTATTCATTCATAGAGTAGAGGTAAACATTCCAGCGAGAGGTTTATCTCTCAATTCGAAGCATGAGGAAATAAATGAAATTGATTGAGTGTCTATAAAAAAGTTTGTTGAGTTCACTATATGCGGTAGTTAATTTTTTTTATTTGCTAACGGTCGTGGACATAGAACGCCAGGTATAGAGGAATACCTTGGGCAATATAGTAAAAAATGAGTTTCATCTTCAACGGTTTTAGAGTTACAAGGATTACATAGCCTTTCATTACGGGGTGTGTTGTCGTATCTTCTTGTCTCAATCAAAGGCTTGTGCCTGCTTTTTCTTAGTTTCACTAAGGCTTTCCTAGAAGCCTTTTTTCTTGTTAGATCTAGGTATAAAAGTTAAGCTTTTGTGCGTGTTGAAAAGTTTCAATAAGAGATATATTTCTTTTTCATGAGAGTTATATAATTCTTGCTATTACTTTGAATCATTCAGTGTGTTAAAAGTTGGTGAGATTATAGTACTCACTCATCTTCATGAGACTCTGGAGTAAAAACTTTGTTGACCTTTATAATGAAGGTCAACAGATATTTTTCAAGATTGTTTAACTATAGAATGTTCATCCTTTCCTTGGAGGTAGTTCACTTATACCAATGATGACATGTTATTTACTTCTTAATAGCGTTTACAGAAATGTAAATGTGTTTTTTCATTTCCGGAGCCTTCCCACGAATGAAAATCTGATTTTAACTATTGCAGGTTACAGGGTGCCCAAGAGTGAACAAAATCTTACATCAAGTTGATAGCCTGATATGTACACCCAAAAAATAGCAATCACCTTCGATCACATTTAGGAGCCATAATGGCTCTTGATCACTGTAAGATTAATTAATCCTGGAAAAAAAAAATCAGGCCGAATTTTTTTGCGTTCGACAGGTTTACTTTACAAAATCTTGCCAACAAATCCGGGTGCGTGCACGTGTAAACCAACCTTTTATACCATTTATAAATCACATCTGAGGTGAAACAGAGGTACTGCTTTTATCATACAGACCTCGGAAAGAATGCAGTATTTCACAATTTTGCAACACAAATTGCACTCATTCAATATTCAGGACGATCGAAGCACTCGTGGGCTTTTGAAGCCGTTAAAAAAATTTCCAAAATCATATACGGCCAGCCGGTTCTCACTTTTGCAGTGCGAACTGTAGCGAGTGTTTGAACGAACATACTAGAGTTAAGCTACAACATAATAAAGAAATTATTATGTTTATTCAGTTTTATTAAATTGTTTTAACGATCGATGTGTAATCTTTAAAAGCGCCGGTTTGATACCCGCGGCACTGTGAGTACTCCTGCAAGCGATGTTCACTGAACGAACGGCTTGGAAACTAAAATTTGATAGCATTTTGTTTTGAATGAGGGTATGGGCATGATTTTCAGTTGAACATGACTAGCGAGCAATTAAAATCGCATCCAGTCTGAGGATAAATAAGAGAGGGAAAATTTTATATATTTAGGCATGACAAAATTCAAGGGAACATTGGTTCTTAGAAATAACACCTCATAGGCATGGAAAAAATGGGTTCATGCCCTCCCATCCCAAAATTGACCTAACTAAACTTAGGTCCCAGATCTCTCGCCGGGTTGATCATTCAATTCCAGTTTTTGCTCCTCTGGTTTGGCATGCCGGGCATGCCGATGGTGAAGCCAGTTGGGTTTGGCATGCCCGGCATGCTGGGCATGAAATTGGCATGCCTAGCGTGACTGATTTTGATGTTCGCTCCAGCATCATATCCTGAGAATCATATAATCGCCAAATATATCTTAGGGAGCTTGAAGTTACAGGTTTCATGCCTGGCAATAAATGCAGATTATAACAAAAAAAAGTCATGTTTATCACAATGTATGTCACAGGATCGCCGGATCGACTGGCAAAACTGAAGACAGAAGCCTGGATTTATAAATAAAAAGCACAACAAAACAACATTATTCATGCATAAAATAGAATACTTCACTTGCAATCAAAGATCAATCAATCCTTTTATTTCAAACCGATACTGACATTTCTGGGTCCAGAGTTAAATTTGATCGGGGAAAAGCGTTTTAAATAACAAATAACAAATAACAAATCTTCTCAGTATAAACTTATCCATGCTTAAGTTCTATCGCGTCGGAATGTTTCCCGGTCAACAGCATTATCAAAAAAGTTGGTGAAAATTAAGCTTACCAGGTCGTTCAAGTCAGTACGAGAGTACGACGTTAATACTGCAAATACGTTCTGATTTGGTGAATTTAGACTGCCTTCTCAGATTTTGCTTAGGTTTTCAGTGCGAGTCTTGTCGGCTATGCGAATCTCGCAAACTGTTTTACTCCTTGCTGACGATAGTCCTTTCAGCAACGTCATCTGCCTCATCCAAAGATACCCCGAGCACGCACGAAATCGGCCGGATTTCCGCAGAAGTGTTTTCGGATGACGATGAATTTAGTTTGTTGTAGCGTGGCAGTTGTGGCGTCACGATGTCGTCATGTCTCTTCGCACTTGTTTGTCTTTTTTTTTTCTGCGGTGCATTAGTCCATCAGCTGAGAGCCGAAAATTTGAGTTTATGGCTCACTCGGGGGGAACAGCCGAAACATGTCACATATTAATCTTGGACTATTAAGCATCACGAAAATGCATGATAGCAAGGATAAAACGGTAGCTTTCACTTTGAAAATCGAAATTTAAATTTGTCTCTCATAATCTCCTTTTGGCCCCCATCTTGAATTTTGGGGAAGGCTGAGAAGTTGCTTATATTCTTTTAACTTAAACAAATGTTGTTTTAGCGTAGAATTAAAACATATTTGAACTAAAAACATGACTTCCGTTTATTATAGTGCTTAAATTATAACTACCTGAGGTCCTATGCCTATCCCTATGTATCAACATTGAATCGGCCCGTTATTGGTCACTCAATAAGACCGGCAGTTCGCTATTTGTTTAATGACTAGAAGAAATGTAAGGTTTAGAAAAGTGTTTCCGAAAAGAGTAAGGAAATAAATCATATGTTTACATTGCAAGTGTATTGAATAGAGTCTCCTATTGAAAACAATTTCTTAGTGGACAACCTTATCCAGTCACACGTCCATGACCGGAGTCAGTTTCAGAGGTTTCAGCTGAATGTGAATTCCTCGCACGTCTCATCAAAATCAATGTAATGGCCGAATTAAGTTCACCAACGAGAGAGATTTGCAACTCGCTAAGCTTGTCTACACAGAAGTAAGTGATGACTAACTGCACTCCACGGACAAGAGAAATCAGCAGCGAATGACTTTATTATGAGCCGTTGCTCATCCAATCACACGCTTTCTTTGATCCAGTGAAGAAAGCTAAGGTGAAGGCTGTGCATAAGGTTATCAACAAGGATCTAGTACTTCCTCTTGTGCTTGGATGGCACTTCTGGGACAGTTCCGGCAACCCGAGAACAAAACCGGCAGTTTCGATGAAACGGCAGGCTACAGAAGTTGTAGATCTCCTCTGGCGCTATGTTCCATGTGGTCGCTTAGAGTAACTAACTTCGCGCAGCAGGTGCGTAAACGAAGTGGTTGACGTGTAGTGCGGGGTGTTGATCAAAAAAGACTGAAAATTATGTCTACCGCTGACAGTGTACAATACAGGGATTTACTGCGATGCACTATACTGTGAAGTCATAGAACGAGCTCAGTTCCAACACAAATAAACTGAAATCGTCAAATTCCTTGTGCTCGACAGGGCAAAACTGAAGCATTTAGAAGCAGACTCGGCAATTGGATCATGAACTCCCCGTGTCATAACTGAAGGCCAGTCGGGCGACAAGAGGCAGACACATGGTGACCAGAGACCCAGTTCCCGAGCTACAGTTCCGTGACGAAGAGGCTGATACGCGTATTGTTCTGTATACTCGGCATGCGCGTAGGAATGACAGTGTGATGCACTCTGATACTCTGACACTGAGACTGATGTCTTTGTCCTACTACTTGCTCATTGACTATTTTCCAATTGCCCATAATACACTCTGTTTGCCCCCCAAATTTTGCATAACTTATTGTCTTGAAATGCTCTTGGGAAAATGCCATACTCCCAGGAGCATTTAAAAACAATGGTTTATGCAGAATTTGGGGGACAAACAGAGTGTATTATGGGCAATTGGAAAATAGAGAATAGCAAACACTTGACCAGGGGCGGATCCAGGATTTTTTTTTAGGAGGGGGTGCACTCGTCTCTTGCTCTACTTCAACANTTACGGGCCCGAAATCAAATATTCAAATCGAAATATAAAGAATAAGAGCGCGGGTCCTGGCTAGCAAACTACTCCATTTTGTTTCATTAACTGACAGTTTTATCATGTTAGATGCAAAACTATTGAAACCTTGATCTTTAATGTAAACGGAGACAGCTTACCGGGCCCGTTAATTATCGGGACTTTCGAGAAACGGGCCCCAGCTTCTCCAAACGATGGAGGGTGCGTCCGAGTTATGTCGAGTATCGCGGGAAAGAGTGATCAGTATCCAATGAGAACTTTAAATTCAACATACGGAAGCACGCGTATGTGAACTGTACAGAAAGAAGTGGCATAGTGCGCTGCTACGAGATTCGTCCCCAGCTTAAGGCTGGAAGGTCAAGCTGGAGTATCTGCCGCCATGCGACTCATCTTTTCGACTTAGAGGAGCAATTATCAAGCCTCAATGTGAAGAGAAACCATCGTTCTGCTCCCCTTGTTGGCACGTTAAGGTAGAGTAGTTGCAACTCATGCGTATGAACGCTTCTTCAGCTTATTATGTTAGAGCAGAAAATGCTGTACATTTGAATCTATATTTATGTTAAATTTTCCGAACGCGAATGTCAGCAGTGAAGAATGGTGTTATGCGAATGATGTCAATTATGGGATCATAGGGCTTTTGTTCTAAAACAAGTTCTGGAGCACGTTTCGAGGAGGTGGGGGAGGGGGGGAGGGGCACTCCCTTATTTGGCTTATACAGGTCAGGTATATGCTGCTGAACACAAGGTCTTGAGTATTAAACTGGGTGTAGAATTTTACTATTTTAATAGTAGAATCTTTTAATGGTAAAATTCTATTTTGATAGTAAATTCGCTTAAAAGCGTCTTGAACAGTGTCTTTTTGGGCTGGAAGCCTTAAAAAGACTGTGAAGGCTTGCGATAAGCAGTTTACATTTGCAATACCAATAATTTTTTTCCAATGTATCTGTTTCCGTGATGTTAGTTAGGTCTGTTTTACTTGCCGTAGAAAACGAAGTTACAATAGCTCTAAACATGTTCTTCTAGCATTGTGGTTTCGATGGCCTAAAACCTTCGACGACTGCTTTGGTCGTTATCACTCCATATGGAACGATGCATGATCAGGCATGTTTTCCTTCCTAAACCCATTTAGCTTTCAGTTTAAGTTAATAAATTTGTAAGCAACAACGTCACATAAGGTATCCAGTGATATCTCGTTTTGGATATTCTGACTAATCCTGACAACGTTACACTCACAAAAAAGGTAACATTTTGAGGAAAAGTCCACTGCCAATGTCATTGTCTATCTGCTACTCTTTGAAGAATAAATTTTTCCCTTTCCTAAAAAGTTGGCCAGCCCCAATTCCATGCAAAAAAGACGATAAAGTGGGCAAACTGCTAATAAACAAGCAAGGCAAAGAAAAAAAAGAGAGCGATAGAGAGATATCGAAATAGATTCGCAAATAAAGTCAAAATTTTGGCCTGTGCGCATGCGTGAAAAACAAAAAAAGCCGTTTAATTACGTCCGATTAGTCTGAAAATATGCCTTTTTTGATGTAAAAATCATTTTTAGCCATTCTTTTAGCCACGCTAATTAGCCGAAAGCCAATCCATACAAGAGGAATTTGGGAAAAATGTAGTTTTTTCGCAACTCGCCGGCCGTCACCAAAGGGTTAAAGAAAGTTACCAATTTGTTTCGAATTGGCCTTTTTCCTTATAAGAAAGTCAAATTTGCCCATTGCAGCACAAAACAGGTTTGTAATGTGAAAAAGAAGAACTTGCTATGTTTAATTAATGTTAATGGCAATTTTCTTATTTAGATGATTGAGATATCAGTTGAATAGTCTTCTTTTAAAAGTAAAATGGCGGTCACTGTGACGTCATATGTGACGTCATCACATTTTAACTAACCTTAACAATGCTAAAATAATATCTCAGATACCTAGTAGTTCAAATCTTCTTTAAAAGAATCGTGTGTTTAAATTAAGAGGGAATCAAAGGTTTGTTTATAAATCCAAGATGGCGACTAAAATAAAGGTTTAAGTGGCAAATTTAAAATTCGATTTGCAAAGTGAAAGCTACCGCTCTATCCTTGCTATCATGCATTTTTGTGATGCTTTTTACTCAAAGATTTCGATTATACATGTTTTTTTTGTTCCCCTTAAGTGAGCCATACAACCCCCCTAGCTGATGGACTAATGGTTGAGATGTTGGTGAATGCTGGACAAGAAAGGAATTCTGCAAGAGACTGTAAGTACAAATTTAGTATTAATTTGTAAAGAAAAAGCCTGAATATCGAACAAATTCCGTGAATTATCCTTTTGGTATTCAGTTTTATCTTGCTGTTGAGCATGCCTAAGAACCCTCAGGCATAAGTGGTTGTCAACTCGTTTACTTCGGATTGTTTCTGTTTGTACGTCTTGTAATCTTGTTCTGCTGTTAAGAAGACTAGAGAAAACTTCAAAAATATAGAAACCAAAGCTAAAAAAATCAGATTTAATTTTATAGCTCGAGCATAATTATTTTTGGCACCGACGGTCATATTTTTTCAGTACACTGGTAAGGTTACTTATTTTTGCTGCATAGTTTGACTGTTGTTTGAAAGACAATCAAACGGATATTAAAATCACTTTTGGAGACAAAATAAAATATCCGTATATCAAATGCCAAAATCAGATTTGGATTTCGCTTTAAAAAGATGAACATGCTGCAGGTGTCAATGCAAAGTTGTAAACAACTCATATAAGCAGTCTGTGAATGTGCGTTCAGGTCCACAAAACTAATTTTTCTTTGGGATGTCTCATCCAAGCAACGACTTATACCTTACATTGCTTGTCTACGAGTGTAATACAAAATGCTTTACTACAGTAAGCCCCTGAGAGGCGATTCTGGTAAATTTATAGGACGCTAAAATGCAAAAAATTCTAAGCTTAAACAACCTGGCTGGGTCCGATGTTTGAATTACAAAATGTTCACGTTTGTCGGCTCTTCTTTAAATGAACATGGTTTTTGAAATGATTTTGTACTATTTTAACCCGAAAATTATTATTGGGTTATAAAGCTTTTAAAACGGACGAAAACTAAGCTAATAAACATGTTCAATGTAAAGAACTAAGATTTAGTCGCTTTTTCAACTTTGCTTTGTGGGCCGAAAAATTTACCTTTACGCAAAAACAAAAGGAAACAATGAGGCTTTTATTCGACATATTTTCTGAGAATTTTATCAGATCAATTTAATGTCACTAGCACTGTTTTCGTTTAGGAATTTTCCTAATTATATGGCCTTTTAATTTTAAAATTTTGATACTTCATAAACTTCTCATTTGATAGCTTCACTTTTTTATACACCGATTGAGAAGCAAATTCGCTCTCGTTAAATCCTATTTTATGACCTGTTTATTAGAACTCTAGGTAACATGTGAAATGATGTAACCGGACAGGCTTTAACCTTTGGTCCTAATGTATTTTTTCTTCACAACCCCTAATCAGTTGACGGGCCGTGAGAGAATATCGCCACAAAGATGCGAAAAAGTTTTCGCTGAGTTTCCTTTACATATTCCGGCTTTATACGGGTCTACACCTTACCTGCTTAAAAATGAAACTGTTGTTCAAGTGTCAGTCAAACTCGGGATAATCTTGACTTGCAAACCCTAATGCAAAGGTTTATTTCGCAGTAGAAAAGCGTGTAAACATCATCGAACAACGGAATGTAAATTGGCTAATGTGAAACCACGTTTCTTTCAGTTTATTTACCATGCATTTATCTCAATTGCACACTCTTGTGAAATTAGCCTCAGACAATTAGTTGCCACCTTTAAGAGACTCAACAAGCCAGTATGAAAATATGTTAAGAGAAGCTGAGCTGTACACGTACTATTTCTTTTTTTTCATATTGCCCTTGCATGTGTTAACATTCCATTTCTTTTTTGTTGCAGGTAACTTCCGGACATGACGAGGAGATGATTACTATTCTAGAGAGCCATTCTTTGATACTGTCAGTTGTTACTGACTTAATTTGCGTTAAAAACAAAGAACACAGACACTGGTAATGACACATAAACAATAATCCCTGGCAAGCCTACAAAACAAGAAAGAGGAACTCAGACTCCTTATCAAAATGTGAAACAAGATAAAAACAGCTTTTCTAACGTAGGGAAAATTGCGTAAGCACATTGCATTGTCAAACATCATAATTTACTGAATAATGGACAGTGATTTTGGAGCTTAGCTCAGTTTGTAATGAACTTTGAAAGATATTCTATAACCTTGTATTTTTAAAAGCTTTCATGGAACATAGATGCATTTTATTATACAATGAAAATAGTCTCTGTCTCTATTTTTACTGATTTCAGTCAATTCCATTTTATTCGCAATGTGAAATGGGAATCCTATTAACGATTCATTAAAAGGGGTGAGGAGTTTTTACAATCCCCCAACAGGTCATCTCCGCGATGACGCAATTTTATTACTACGGCAGAATCCATCAGGGTTTTACTTTCTTGTGAAAATTAGAGCTTTTGTTATTTAAACTTCACTAGACAACCAAATCTATGAAAATGAAAGGAATAGAAATGACGTCATCGTGTAACCGTATATCAAAATATAAGCACGGTGATCTGTTTAGTTTTTCTTTTTTAGCCAGGCTTGAAATATCTGTAGATTCAAGGAATTATAACCTGTGCGTTGAGAGCATGCCAGAGACCGAGTTTGGCATGCCCGGCATGACCCAGATTATGACACGCCCGGCATGTCAGAGAATTTGGCACGCTGGGCATGCTGGGTATGAATTACTTGTTACTAGAACCTAGGCTTCTCGCGGCGTGGGTAAGAAGGTCACGGAACCTCAAATTATGCTTACAGGGCATGCGAAATTCTGTTGCATGCCAATTTCAATGCAAAACCACTCTGGGCCACCCCTTCTATTACCGGTGAGCAAATCATTGACGATAGGCATGGGAAAAATCCTTGCATGCTAACCAACATTGAAAACGTAGCAGAAATGTCCTCAGTTGCTGAGTCATGCCCTGGGGGAGGCTTTAAAGTACAGAATTTCCTTACATGGATGAGAGAATTTTCCGTAAACAGCATATGATAATGCCGGCTAGGACGTATTGCCTCCATATTGCCCCTTTTTACAGCTAGCTAGGCTAATTTTTCGGCTCCATGGCCTGCAATGACGAAAAATTCATGCCCTAAATGTAAAAAGTCCAAAAAAGTCCTCGAAATTTTAGTTTCCAAGCCGTTAACGATTGAAAACAAACGGCACGGCGATTAAAATTGCAAGAGAGACTACCAACAATCAATAAAAGAAATATAATTCGGTGAAACATATACAGAGACAACATTTTTCATTGACGAAGACAAGTAGTAAAGTGTCTCTAAAAATCCTGAGTCTTAAAGCTTAAGTTTATGTTTTAAGCCGGCTTCCCGGTATTTACTTTTTTCAAAGATGAACTCGAGGCAAGAAAAACGCACAAAGCTTTCTTTTACAGCCAGAATTATAACTAAATGTTCTTTTGAACGTTTTCTTTTTATTTGCGGTGAGAAAATGTCTAAAGGCTTTTTAAAGTTCTGTAAGCTTATATCAAACCTGATTCTTGGTCATATCAAATTGTCTCAAATCTTACAAACGTGCATAAACTACATAGCCGCATAAACTGCGCTCGACTTCATTAAATTAGATATAAAAAACAAACATCAAACACAATAATTACTGAGGATTACCATTCGAGATGCAGCTCCTGAAAGGTATCAAGGAAGGTCAGTATCGCTTCAGACTTTTCAACCCTTACGCATCAAGCAAGGTGAAGCCATCCGAAATCGGATTTCCGACTTTGACAAGTAATGTATTAATTTCTCAACCAAAGACCAACTTGTCATGAATAACAAAAGACTCCTGATAACAGCTGAATTTCATTTTGTGCATCCAGTGAAAAAAGACAGTTAAATACATCACAAGTTGATTCTATTATCCATGTTGACACAAACGCTGTCAGCTTAAGCTGTCAAAGTAAACAAGATTCAAGATGCTGCATAAATATTCCGCATGAGCTCACCTGTCAAATTTTGACCAATCAGAGCGTTAAAATTGGACGTAGAGCGTGACCAACGCGTGACCATGGTGAGCAAAGTCAAAAGCAACTGCCTTCCCTGCCTGTAATAGCTGGCTGAATTTTCGCGTCCGAGGTCAGTTTTAAATCAAAATTTTAATTGTGCGGCACAAAAACAAAACATATTTCATATGAATTTAAAAACAATCAAACTTGGGCCTGCGATCTTTGAAAACTAATAACTTGTCAGCGGATAACTTTAAAAAAATACTCGACCTCGATGGGTCAACACCTGAGCCCGCGATACGGTCAATTGATACTGGTCAGCGGATACCCTGTTATGACAGCTGTCAATTGATCACAACATTGATGTCCAATGGATGTGTGCATTATCAGTTTTCCTGTGCTCTCAATTTAGCTAGAAAGTATGACATTGAACATTGATTGCGAGCTAGTAAAACAACTGGTCAGCGGACAGCATCCAAATAAATGATGTCACCTTGATGAGTTGACACATGAGCCCCCGATATGGTAATGTGATACTGGTCAGTGGCTATCCTGTTTTGACAGCTGTCAATTGACCATATTGTGAATGGCCAATATAAAAGATATGGGTTTGCCAAGACACACCTGAGACACCCCTCCCTTACTTTTGATAGTCTCCCCTACCCTACCCGTACAATCTGTAGACGCGTACATACGTACGTACGCTCGGTCAGTCACGTGACAACCAAACGAAAAGAGGTTGACCATATTCTATGAGTATGGGGCTCTGTCCCACGCGCACTTCGCGCGCGAGGGAGCCCCGCTAAAATTTGAAGAAATTATGATTTTTTTTTAATTTTTACCCCAACTGTAAACGTACGCGAGGTTTTTCCCGCCATACTTTTCCTGCCCATTTTGTAGGTTCTCTATTTTGGTATTTTTAACGTTTTCTTTTATTTTCTCTACTCCTTCGTGAAAATGAAGGTCTACACTGTTTGTGCTAGAGCTCAGGCATCTATTTTTATGGTCTTCCGGCCATTCAGTCCAAAAAAAAATTGCCAAAATAAATTGTTGAAGAAATCTGAACGATGAACGATGATCGACCGAGTGGTCAAAAGTAAAGATCTTAGAAGACAACCAAGGAGTGGATGGCCATTTTTTCACAAACTGTGTGAGAAATATTATCGAAAAATCTGTAAGTATACGTGTAATAATTCCAAAAAACAGGAAGGTAAAAAAATTTCAACTTCACATTATCGATCAGAGTTTCGAGCTCAACGGTATGGATATAAGTTACCAAAAAAGGTTGGAAAGCCTTGATTTGAAAAAGGCGGTGCACACTTCATGCAAACATGTGTCCGAAGGATTTGTAAACTTCATACCAAAGGAGGACTGGCCGGCAAACTCACGTCATGTGAACCCCCTAGAGACCATCTGGATTATCGTAGACGAGACAACATACAAAGATCAAGCCCCCAAAACAGTGGACGAGCTAAGACAGTGACTACGCTTCGCCTGGAAGAATGTGACTTTGGACACGCTTTGGGAGCTCGTACATGCTATACCTCACCGCTTAGAAAATGTCAGAAAACATACAAGAAGACATTCTGGTTTCTAATATTTTAGTTATTCAATGTTAAATGAATAATGAATAACATACTAAGTTTTACAAAAGGTTTTTTCTAATAATTAGTGAAATTTAAGCGATTAAAAAATCGGACCGAACTTTTGAAACACCCTGTAGAATAGACAACAATAGAATTCACACTTGGCTGCCGGGCTTGGGGAAATAAAGCAAAAGAAATCATCTTGAGGGTCAGCAATGAACAATACATTTGTTTTGTTTTATTCCCCCAACCCTCGGAACCAAGTATGAATTTAAAAATATAGAGATAGGTCTATTGGCTGAACCATTGTGTCAAAAGTTTGCGTGCAAGGAACGGTTTCAGTGTACTAAAATCAGTGTGTCGTCTTAGACTAAAGAAAGCATGGAGAGCTTTTGTCGCCGGAAGGTGTTCAAGCGAAAGTGTGACATTTCCGGAAGAGGAAATGCGGGTTCCTTAGTAAGTATAGTCTTGTACTATATAACAATTATTCACCGAAGTGGAAGTGGCTAACGGTTGCCATTGCCGAGGCCGCGAAGCGGCGAGGTAAATACCACCACTAGCCACCGACACTGAGGTGAATAATTGTTTTAGTATATACTAAAACAGTGAGATAATTGAGCACAAAAATATGATTTTTAACTCATTTACTGTTGCCAACGATTACTGTTTTGGCGCGCAATGACCGAACGGCCGCGGTCGTCACTTTTTCTTACCGACAAATAAAACTTTTGAAGGCATTCATTTAGCTCGTGCGGGGAAATTTCTTCAAAAGGAGTTGTGAATTCTTTTCGTATTTAAAATCATTCTATAAAAAAATTATTAAATTTAGTTTTAAGCTTATTTACGAAGAAGTCAACTAAATAAAGTAACGCAAGTCTTTAGCTTAATTTGCATTTTTTTAAAAAAAACTTTTTCACCGGTTTTATCGATAAATTCAGGTCAAAAAGACAAAGCTTTACCTGTTAAAACTTCCAAACCGAACTTCGTCACCTTCTTCGTGTATCTCGAGAACAGCTTGCTTGATTAGTTGTGAAATTTCTTTGTTTGTTAAGGCAGCAAACCGGGAAGGCATTTTGCTCGCAACTTACGCGAGTTTGGCGTCGCTCGCTTGGAGGAACTGGAGGTGAATCAGTGAATAGTGCAGGATATTCACTGATTGAGTATCCAATCACAGCGCGCGAAAATTACTATGCACTGTTTTAGTATATACTAAGTCATTTTATTCATTGCCCATGTGAAAAGTGTAATCACATTTTTTTGTGCATTTTTGAGAAAAATCATTATCTTAATTTTCTTAGGGTTAAAATTTTGAATATCAAGAAGTCGCAAGAGGCAATTTTGTAATTCCCAATTTTGATCGTGACTGAATAATTAAGTCGTCTGCTTACGATATTGCCTAGTCCCTAGGCCTCATT